TATACACATATATATATTATTCATTATAGGCAATCATATATATGCAAATGATGTTAAAATATTTATAAAAGTCTGGATTTATTAAACCTTTGCCTGATAATTTTTGTTTGGGGTTATGTGGTGTGTATGTTTGTGATCACATTCTAATATTTGTCCATAGGGGATTAGAAAGAGAGTCCAGGCCGCAGCTGCTCACTTCCTAGTCTATGCTGTTGAAGTCCTACCTATAATCGGCAAACAGCAATCAATGAGAAAGGTACACTGTTCTGTACGCTGATGCCTTGCCCTGTGGGAACCAAGCTCAGTCACTGATGATAATTTAATCTTTATCATCAGCGAAGGACATAGGACATAGGTAGGTTAGTGATGCCTCCTTTCTGAGGAGACCACATCTGAACTGAAGGAGGCAATAACTGGGAGATGAGAATTCCAAGAAGAAATTCCAGAGGCCATGAGGTGGGAAAAGGATTTATCTGACATCTTACGTAAAAACCAACAAACAAGTCATTAAAAAAAAAACGGATACGCTGACAATCTATATTTTAATAATTAAATCATGTAATCTTCTTGACATGGCACCTCCAAGTTTACCCGTGATAAACACATGACTCAGAGGAAGAATGATTCATTCATAATGGATTCCTAAGTGTTGCGGATACATCTTTAAAATGGAAAGATACTGATTTAATCTCTACAACGTGTAAGGTGCCATACTGAGAAGGCAAGGCCCTGACCTCACTAGACCCAGTCTAGCTCGTATTCAGAAGTTTCTGCTAATCTTGAACCGAAATCAACATCTTCTTTGTTCTAATGACCCGCAGGTGTAGCTTAGAAAAACTTACTGTGGTAAAGCAGAAGCATGTTCTGATCTGACGTTCAAGCTGCTGAAACAAATGAGTGGCAATAGAGCATGATAATGTCTTAAAATGTTCAGTGTTTATCCTTTCTGAATACCCAGGACCCCACATATGAGCCCATGCTAACAGAACAAGCATAATGCAGAACACAGCAAAGCATAGTGTAGGTGGGAGCCAGGCTGAGTGAGCGCTCCTGTTAAAACAGTGGCCTTGACTCTGTGTATGACCCCATGTTTCCACCTCAGTTTGAAGTTCCCATGGGGCACCTGCTGTGCAACAGCCTGTAGGCTAGCCCTGGTGGTTCTAACAGAATAGTCTCAGCTCCAGTAAATTCCAAGATAAGACAAGAACCAAAGCAATGTTGCAAAGGATAGACAGAGCAGAGACTGAGGGAGGGACAGTAGATTTTGAAGTAAATAAAATTTAAAGTCCCACCCTCTTCATGAAACTAGGCCACCAACTTACATCGTACACAAGAGTAACCTCAAAATGGAAAAAAGGACTTAAATGTAAGTTGTGGGACCATAAAAATCCGAGAAGAAACCATAAGCAGAAAAATCTCAGACATCTCTTGTAGCAATATGTTTGCCGATACCTCACCTAGGGCAAGGGAAACGAAAAAGAAAATAAACAAATGGGACTACATCAAAATAAAAAGCTTCTGCACAGCAAAAGAAACCATCAACAAAATGAAAGGGAGACCACTGCATGGGAGAACATATTTGGCAATGATACATCTGATAAAGGGTTAATATCCAAAATATATAAGGAACTCATACAACGTAACAGAAGGAAGACAAACAATCCAATTAAAAATGGGCAAAGGACCTAAATAGACACTTCTCCAAAGAGGACATACAGGTGGCCAAGAGACATATGAAAAAATGCTCGACATCACTAATCATCAGAGAGATTCAAATTAAAATGACAAAAGGTATCACCTCACACCTGCCAGAATGGCCACCATCAACAAATCAACAAATGACAAGTGCTGGCGAGGATGTGGAGAAACAGGA